CTGAAAGCAAATCCTGAATCCATCACTCTAGAGTCCAGCCTTGGAAGACAAAAGAAAAATGAGGAAGAACGCAATAAAGGGATGCTTTTGAAAGCCCTTGTCAAGAAATTCCAATGGACTCTCATGTGAACATTTGAAAATTGCCCAGTTCTGACTTCTTTCTAGTTCCCTGTCTAGAATTGTAATGCTAATTACTCTTGCCTTTACTTCTCCTTCACATCTCCTATTCAAGATTCAAGGACTTTCTTTTCCCCTGAGAGATAAGAGTTATGCAATTTGGGAGTTTTGTAGATAGACCCACTGAAGGAGTACTCCAATTGCCTCACCCTGCGTCCCTGTTCATCATGGAAGAAGCCAGAGTGGTCTGCGTCCCTATTCCCTGTTGGAAATTTGGGTAACCTCTTCAGAGGATGGTGTGATAAGAATAGGAGGTAGGAACTGGCTAGGCAATTAGGGTACAAAGACCCCAAAGAAAAGTAGCCAGTTTCTTGGCTAAAAGTCAAAATGTTCTTGTGCCTGTTAGTAACATACTCTGTTCCAAAGGCCTAAAATGTCAAAAGTATTTTGGAGCTTGTATCTAATCCTTAAAATATTTTACGGTTACCTCTTCAGAGGGGGGAAAGTTAGAGTAGCCAAAAGCCCCATGAAAATAAATAAGTGAAAGAAGAAAAAAAAAAAAGAAAGAAAAGGAAAAGAAAAAAGTGGTGGGGAGATATGGGAGGTTGGAGGGGAGGGAGTGGACATGGATTTGATCAAAACACCTTATATGCATGTATGAAATCCTCAATAAAGTTTTTGTAAAGATTAAAAAAAAAGAAAAGAAATCTTTTTTTAAAAAGGAAAAAAAATAGCCATTAAGAGGAAAAAAAATGCTGGCATTTTTAAAGATTGCATTCTCTTACAAAACACAAAATAGAACTGTCCCAAAGGAGCTCAGAGTTCAACACAGGAATGTATTTGTACTTGTTGAACTATAACTACTCAGTGAGATCAATGAAAGTCCAGTGAAGAAATTATCAGCTTTAGTTGGACAGTTCAGGAACACTTAAAAAAAAAGCTGATCTTGAAGAGTAATCAGAATTGAAGATTGCTAAAGTTTGAATTTTAAATGTTTTTCAAAGGCCCATGCTATGGGGGTATGAGCTTCAGAGGCACAATTGGAAGGTAGTAAAACCTTTAAGAAGTGGAGTTTAGTGAGAAGCTTTTATGTCATGTCACTTAGGGCAAAATTCAAAGGGGATTATAAAACCCCAGCTGCTTCCCTACCCTGTTTTCTTTTACTTCCTCACCATAAGATGAACGGTTTGGCCATATTATCCAGTGCCACAAAGTGCCTTATCTCAGGTCCAAAGCAATGGGGATCACTGATCATGTTTGGGAACTTGAAAACTGTGAGCTAAAATAAACCTTCTCTGTTTATAAGATCAATCTCAGGTGTTTTATTACAGTAGCAGCAAGTTACTAACATACAGATGTTCTCAGTTGGGTAGGGAAGAGAATACAATTCTTGAATGATGATGAGCCAGAATGAATGTAAAGATGTCTGTTCAATCTGGGAGATGATGAAATATATTAAGTTTATAGCATATGATGTAAATATAGACTCTCCAGTAACAGACAGAGTAGCTTTTTTATTTCATTTTATTTAAAAAAATATTTTAGTTATTATTTTTATGTATATGTGTGTGTTGCCTGCATGTAGGTAAGTGCACCTGTGTCACACAATGCCCACGGAGGACAGAAGAGGCTGTCAGATCCCCTGGAACTGGAGTTACAGACAGTTGTTAGCTGCCATGTGGTCTTCTGCAAGAAAAGTCAGTGTTCTTTACCAGTGAGCCATCTCTCCAGCCCTGGAGTAGCTTTTTTTATGCCACAGATGGTGATTAGCTAAGAAACTTACAACTGGCCAATGCGCAGAGAACAGGAAACTACAGAGTGCTTATCCCTGAACAGGACACCCATTTCAAACTTCTGCCTTCCAAGGCTCATGGATCATTATGGAAGAGGAGTGAAAAGATTTTAAGAGCCAGAGGTGGTAGATGATTACAAGGAAACAGAACTTTCCAGAAAGTGATCATTTACACATATGGACTCACAGCAATGATGACAGCATATACAAGTCCCATGTAAACTCAACCAGACAAAATTCTAGCATTGACATGGGGATGTGGGTAAGAAACCCCAACTCAATTAAGGACCTTTTGACAACAAATGACTTTTAGAAGGGGGACAAACAATCTTTCACTAGGTGAGAGACAATAAGGGGAGGTGAGGATAAGGGAGGGGATAAAAGCAGCATCAAATTATATTGTATGAAAATCTCAAAAATTCAACAAAAATTTGAAAAAAGAGAAATGAAGTAGCTAAGAGCGTGGTCCTGGAAGGCTGTTGCTGAAGGGCTTGAACTTTGTTCTGAAGGTAATGAAAAGCTATTGAAGGTTTAAAGCAATTGAATGAAATATGATTTGTAGTTAAGGTTAGGTCACCCTGACAGAAGAACAGAAGATGTATTGGGGATGTAGGATACTGGAGGGAGGATCCTGGGCATGGAGATACTGTCATTTCCTGTAAACATCTATTGAGGTAATTTTGAAAAAAAAAAGGCAGAAATTCCTGAAGACAGTGGATCAGACAAGTAAAAAGATAAGGATTGATAATATGTAGGTGTAATGTACAGACATGATAAAGATAAAGGAGAAGATGAGGATTTTTCTAGAGATTTATCTTCTGCTTCTATATAAGTTATGGTGCTTCTCAAGAAAAAGGAAATTGAAAAGAATAAACTGTTTCATGGAAAGCTGAGCACCAGTATAATCATTTCAAGAGCTTCAGCCAAAAACGAACAGTTGATGGTTGGATATCTCATTCAGCTAAAGGTGTAGGTAGGTTGTCAGAATGTCTAAGGAGAAGACCAAAGGCAGCTCTAAGCTGTAAGAGGTGAGCAAACAGAGAATACTGGTGGAGATATTTAGAGAGCTACATAGTGATGAAGACAAAGTAGTGAAGAGATTAACAGGAGAGTGAGATGAGGACTAAGAACAGGTCATTAGAAAATACACTGGATCTGTTATGCACTGGAAAATGCACTGGATCTGTTATGGGGTTAGGCAGAGGATGGAAACTTACCTGAAGCCCCTTAAAGAGGTCAGTGTGAGAAAGTAGAGATGGTAGTCCAGACCATTCTTTTTAAGGCTTGGTTGTGAAGCAGATCTCTGGAATAATGTGTGCAGAAAGAATTGGTGAAGATGAGGTAGAGCCTGTTCTTTTTAAAATTTATTATTTTTATTTAATGTGTATGAATGTATTGCCTGCATGTAGGCAGGTTCATCATGTTTTGCAATGCCTGCGGAGGTTAGAAGAGGTGTCAGATTCCCTTGGAACTGGAGTTACTTGCATTTATTAGCCACCATGTGGGTGCTGGGAATCAAACCCAGGTCTTCTGCAAGAGCAGCCAGTGCTCTTGACTTGAGCTGTCTCTCCAGCCCTTAGGGCCTGTTTTCTTGATTAATATTTATTAACCCATAAAATTGCGTGTCAGTCTATGCATATTTATAGTCTATTAATTTCCAGCAAAAATCAGGGGAGCAAAATTACACAGAAAGCATATTTAACTGTGAACCAAACATATCAAGATTAAAAATCAGTTTTGAGGAGAGGAAAGGCAAACTTCTCTAATAAACAACAAGAGCAGGTGCAAACTCTGTTGTTTAAAA